CCTGAGGACCTCACAGTCAGTGGACCCTGGTCTCCTCTGTGAGCCAGCCTGGGGAGCAGCAGGCACTTGCCTGTTTATAGGGAGGGTGATAGAGCACGTGATCAGAGCCAGCTGGGTTTGTGTGGGCTACTCAGGTTCCCCATACTCCCAGGGCCTTAGTCTTCTCTGCGGGGGCGGGGGGGGGGATGGAGGAATATTTAGATACCTACCTGGTGGGGTTCCTGTGGAGACTAATAAAGTCAGTTAATTATGGGTAAAACCAAACCATATGAAATCACCAGCATTGGGATCCTTTTTTTTTTTTTTAAACAATAAGCACATACTGTGCTGTGGGAGTAGTGATTCATGGAGTCCTGATTCATTTCTTCTGATGGCTGTACTCTGCAAAACTGTGGTATGTCACAGCCCAGATGTTGACATGGAGAACGCCCATCAGTCTGGTTCAGATGTGAGAACGCATGTGTATGCCATGCTGCAGTGTCATTGTGTCACACAGAAACTGGAATCCTGGAAACGTAACTTTTTAGGATTGCCAATGTAGGATTACAGCAGTCCCTCTCTGCTGGGTGATTCTGCCCTACGGGGGACCTGGGATACAGGCTGGAGACACTGTTGATGGTCATGGCATCTTGTGCGCCTTCTTGGCTCTGGCCCCAAATGTCTGAGGCCCTAGATTGAGAAGCGTTACAGTGGAGGCACCTCTGAGCTCCAGATTGAGCTCAGTTTGCCTGAGAGCACCCACATCTGTTGCCTTTTCCTTTGTCCCACCTTCTATTTGCCAAGCAGAGTATGGTGTGAGGGTAGCTCACTCCTTTACCTCTTCCCTGATGGGGCCCTGGGCCAACCTGCTTCGCACTCTCCTGCACAGGACACTGGCCTTGAGTTGCCAAGTGTCCTGGAGTTGGCTCTGAGCACTTTGCTGCTCTGATCCTGTGAGTGTCAGGGCCTCCTTTGCTGGCCCCTTCACCCCATGCCTCAGGCAGTCCATTGTGTCTGACCCCTCTCTGTGTCTGAGCTTGCTGAAGATGCCTGTGTCAACCCTGTGGGAGCTGACTCCAGGGCACTTGGGGAAGAGACTTAGGAGACACTTGGTGCTTAGGCTGTTTGCATGTGACACCACCTGGAACCCACCCAGATCTCAGGGTTAATGGTCTGTGCTGGTTCAGCCAGGCAGTGTTCCCTGTACTGAGCATCCACAGCTGGCAGAAAGTTTGGGTGTGAACTCACCAGCCCAGTTCATACTAAAAAGTGTTGTGATGCTGCATGAGATTGTGACAGAGCCTGGCATGGTGGCACAGTCCTGTCATCCCAGCTGCCTGGGAGGCTGAGGCAAAAGGAGCTCAATTTTGAAGCCAGCCTGGGCAAGACCCTGTCTCAAAAATAAAATAATGTGGGGGGGAACACTGGGGAAAAAAATAAAAACAATTGTGTCTGTCAGTGTTTAGAGACCTGTGGGGCAAGGCTGGGCAGTAGGACCAGTCTTCAGTAATTTGGGTTCCTTGTGTAGAGGAAGGTGGAAAAGCAGAAGAGGGAGGCAGGTGCCTTGATCACTGTCCAGTGCTTTCAGAGCCAGAGAGCAATGTGTGGATCTGAAAGACCCTGTGCAGGCCAGCTGAAGATGTGTGGGTCTCTTGATGTGGATTGAAATCAAATTCCTGTGGGTAACTATACTGCTCATCTTATGCTGAGCAGAAATTATGGTCAGCAGTTAGTGGTCTTTGATTAGTAAACATGGACATGAACTGAATAGTGGTAAGAGTAGTTGTATGGATAAAAATCTATGTCTTGGGGCTACAGTGGGAGAGAAAAGGGAGAGGTGGTGAGAGCATTAGTTAGTTCTCCAGGATTTCTTTACCCCTGAAGAGCAATTGAGCCTGCCAGGCCTCTTCCAGGGCTGTGATTCCATGTCACAGGGTGGGTGGCCTGTGCTCACCATCATGGCCTGGAGCACTGAAGCAGCATTCCCTCAGGCAGCAGAGAGAGGAGAGCTGGTTTCTAACATCAGTGTATGCAGAAGCAGATAAGGTTGGTCAGCTTGAGTGTCACTTTAAAATATATATATATATTTAGATGTTGACGGACCCTCACTTTAACTATCTATCTATCTATCTGGGGGTTGCTGAGGACGAAACCCAGTGCCTCACACATGCTAGGCAAGTGCTCTACCATGGAGCCACAAACCCAGCCCAAATGTCACATTTTTTTGGCATATTTTTAAAAGTTTTTCTCCACCCCTGACTTGGTACATAATCCATTAAAGGAATTGATGAGATATGATAGACAGAAAGTTAGATTTTAAAATCTTGGATTGTTCCACTCCTTGAGATAACCACCATTCAGGGTAAAGATGTCTCCTGGCTTTTTTCAGGAATCTGTGACATTCTCCTGTACCTGTAGCACTTGGCAAACCGGTCACTGGTCTCCACAGGAAGGTTGAAAACCTTAGCTACACACTTGCTGCTTCTCACGGAAACGGAAACCAGAGGTGTGGTTATTGGAAGCTGCTTATTCATGTCTGTGTTACTAGCACTTGAGGTTAGAGCAGTTTTGAGAAATTCTGCACCAGTTGTGAGGACAGAACAACTCTCTGCACGCCCTGCAGAGTAGGTATTCTGTTGAGGCCAGCCCCTCTTGCCTGTGGGTTTCCTGCTGATTGAGTTGGATGGGAACCCAGCCTGTAGGTCTCCCTTCTGGCCTCCTGCTGCCCCGTTTGTGCTGGTTGGTTATATTCTTGAAGTTCTCAGAGCTTTCTGGGCAGATTATTCAGGTTTTTAAAAAAAGATTTTTGTAGTTGTAGATGGACTGCATGCCTTTGTTTATTTTTGTATATAGTGTTAAGGATCAAACCTGGTGCCTCACACCTGCTAGGCAAGCACTCTGCCACTGTGCCCCAGCCCAGATTATGCAGTTTTTGGTTAATCAGTTTTCTTCATGATTTTTTTTAAAGTTGCCAGTGGCCCTTTATTTATATATTTATATGTGGTGCTGAGGATCGAACCCAGTGCCTCCACACATGCTAGGCAAGCACTCTACCACTGAGCCACAACCCCAGCCCCTAAAACAATATGCTACTTAAATATAAAATTAGCTTTAAAAAGCATTCTTATTGGCAGTGTTAATGTGTTCATCATATGCCAAGACTACAGTAGTTACTTGATTTATTAGGTTTGGAAATTTTGAAACCCGGGCTGGGATTGTGGCTCAGTGGTAGAGCACTCGCCTAGCATGGGCGGGACCCAGGTTCGATCCTCAGCACCACATAAAAATAAAGGCATTGTGTTGTGTCCATCTACACCTAGAAAATAAATATTAAAAAAATTTTTTGGAAACCCTTTTGAAATCTGGTGTAGCTATTATGCAAGATGTACATAGTGTCATTTGATCTTTTTGGATATAAGACTTTGGGTTTACCTTTAAATTTGTACATTTTGATGCAGAAACATTTGGTGAATGAAAATAAGTTTAATTGTCTTTGTACTTTTAAAATTTCTAGTTTTAAACAGTAGAAATAAATCACTGAATGAATCACAAAGTGTGATTACTTGCAGAGTAATCACAGGAACCTGTGTGGCTGTTGCTTCCTGTTGCCCCTCTTTGTGGTCAGTGGGGGGATTGAGGGCAGCAGCCTCTGGCCTCTGATGAAGCTATGGGTGTGTCCTGAAGCTGCAGGGCTGTGGGGGTGCAGGTGTGCAGCCAGCTCCTGCCAGCTCCTGCCAGCTCCCTTGGCTTCTGGGGCTCCTTCCTACCTCTGAAGGAACCCTTGTTTTGAATCTTCCAACGAAGTCTTAATGTAAATATTATGTTTCTCGAGCTTTTGAAAGATAAAAGTACAGCCAGCCTTCTGGATCTTGGTTCAGCATCTGTGAAACCAACCAGTCAAATTGAAAATATTCAGGGAAAGAACGGCCCCCTTGCTGAACACGTGCAGGCCTTTATTTGGTCTCTGTAGTCCCTAAACAAACAGTGTAACAGCTGATTACATAGCACTTACTTTATATTAGGTGTCACAAGTGACATAGAGATGCTTTAAAGCACATGGAAGGGTGTGTGTGAGTACTACTGGATTTCATGTAAGGGCTCTAGCATCCTGGGTTCTCATTTCGCTGGGGATTCTAGACCAGCCTCCCACTATCCCAAGGAATAACTACTTGGGATTGTCCTCTGGGACCTGATTTTTTTCTTTATCATTAACAGTGTTTGAGATTGTGCACTGCTGATCTGTGTCTGTAGCTACAGCTTAATGATAAAGATATTACTCATACTTGGGTGGCTGGAGTGCAGAGGGACCCTGCATTCCACATGGGTCTCTCCCTGGCAGATCCTGCCCTGTGAGTGGCAGGCTTTGACTGAATGGCCTCTATCAGCCATGTGCTTCTCCACCAGAGAGGCCCTGCTGGTGCACTCCCACCCGAGGCCTCGCCTTTCTTTCCAGCCGCGACATGCATCTTTCTTCTCTCTTGTACTGGGGTGTGGGAGGGTGTTAGAATTGCATTTCTGACTTGGAATCATGCAGGGGACCTTTGGACTGAATTATGGTCTTGACTTTTTGAGAATGGATCCCTAGGCAGATTAAGGAGTGGAGGGCAATGGGGTAGCCTCCACCAGGATCGGCCCTGGAGGGACCCCAGTGGGGCGTGGAGATGCTCAGGTGGGAGGCTGGTGTCCGGAGGAGTGGGAATGGAGGGATATGTGACAGGAAGTCTGTTGAGCTCCATCCAAGCCTGTGGGTGGAAAGCCTGGGACACCTTTCCTCAGCAGAGCCCAGCTCTTGCATGCCTCTGGTATCCTTCCCTTGGCCTGGTCAACAAGGCCTTGTTTTCAGAGAGCACTGAGTGCACAGTGCCCTGGGGCAGCCAGGGTGTGAGGCCTTCACAACCCAGAGCCGCCCAGCACCATCTCAGCAGCCTTCTGCTGGCCAGTGTGGATGGTCCAAGTGGGGACATACCAGTAAAAGGAGCCATAGTGACCTCAGTGTTGATGGGATCTGATTTGCTCTTGTTTCAGAGTACACAGCCCTGCTGGAGTTGATTGCAGTCCTCAGCAACGCTGATTCTCCACCATGGAATCGGTGAGTCTGCTGTGTTCCCTGGCCATCTGTGTGGTAGTCCTTGGTTTGTAGAAAGGAGGAGCACAGTACAAAGTCTCCCTGCAGCCTTCTTGGGCTCCATGAACATTGTTCAGTGTTCTGGTTTCTCTCCTGAGTTCACTTGGGGTGGTTCAGAATGGCAGTCCCAGGTTTCCTGGGGTCAGTGAGTAGCACCCCTGGCGTCACAGTCAGAAGAATGGGGCTGAAAGATCAAACAAGTCAGTAGCCTTGTTTGCAAAAGAAGCTAATTCTTCTACGCTTCCTTTATCATATCTTGCCAACCCAGATAGTCTGGAGAACCAGTTGTTGCTGTATTACTGTGGTACTTTGCAGGTTGCATTAGTTGTTCACGTGAGGAATAGCTTAGGAGGGACCAGACAGGCTGTGTTCTGGTTGCTCTGTGCTGCTGGACAGGGCTGTAGCCACTGGGTGTTCCTAGCAATTGGAGGTTAGGACACCTGGTAGTGACAGGCACATCTGTCTCCATGGAGGTCCACTTTGCCTGGGGTCTGACTCTAGGACAGGGTCCTCCTTGGGCAGCTGTGGTGAGGTGACAGATTACTTACCTTCTCTAATGGCTGGGTTGGTGGTTGGAAAGAAGATGGATGCATGGCTTGCTTTGGCTTTTCATTGCCTTGCCAGGGATCTGCTCCTTGTTTTCAGGTTAGTAGTCCAAAAATAGATGATTGGTTTTGTGGGGTTACTGCTAGCAGATGAGAAGGAATCCTTTCTTATTTCCTCCTGAGTGAATTTTCTTATTCTGAAGCTATTGATCTTTGTCTCAGTCATCGCTGATCAGGCCACTTTGAAATGGGCCCTGCAAGTCTCTTAATTCTTGACAGAAGTGTTTGGGAGGATACTTGATGCTAGAGAGCAGATGGGAGGAGTTGCCTCAATGTGGGGGTGTCATCGGTGAGGGGGGAAGCTTTTTTTCCTGGCTTGAAGGTGGAACCAGGTGCACAAAAGGAGGAGGGTGGTGGCTGGGAACCCAGTCACCCTCACCTGAGCCACATCTGTGTCTGCAAAGTAGATCTTAATGAATAATGAGAAAAAGCAAATGCTGCTAATCTTAGTGTGAATTTTTGATTATTAATAAGTATTAAGTGAGTCAAACTCACCCTGTATCAGGACTGCTGGCAGAATTCGGGATTGGCCTACTTGGTCTACACTGGGTGGATAGTGAGTGTGATGGTGTGACATGGGGACTTCAAGGCACTTAGTGCCATCTGTCAGGTTTGTGAGCTGTAAATATTTAGTTTGGTTGATTATAACCCTTTTTGGTCCGAGTGTTTGGATGGAGTAAAGATGCACATACTGCCAAGGAGGGAGTCCTGCCTCGCTGCACACAGTCAGGCCTTCGATGGACAGTCTCTCGAGGCCTGCCTCCCATGATCTTTCCTATCGTGAAAATGCAAGGTTTCTAAAAGACCCCAGTTTTACAGGTTCTCTAGTAATCTTTGGGTTCTTACTAACATTTGTTGCGTTCACTGTGTTCATTTTGACCCTTAAGGTAGAGGGTGAGTGGCTTAGATGAGATGTAAGGTTGTAGGTCTTGCAGGGTCTGATGTGGTGTGACCTGGGTTGTCGGTGTGGACTCTGCAGTGTTCCTGCCTGAGCTATTCCCAGGTCAACTGTGGTGGTCCAGCCGCAGGACCGGGCTACTCTTTGACCATGGGCATACCATTTCAGTCCTCTGTGTCTCGGTTTGCTGACCATGAAACACCTAGCTAATTTGTTATGAGAATATACGAGCTTTAGCATCCTTAGCGCTAATATCTTCGAGCATAGAACTCTGGTTTGGGCTGATTGCTACTGCAGTTCTCACTCTCTTAGCAGGGTAGAAGGCCCAGGTGTTTCCAGGGAAGTGATGAGGTCGAAGTAGCCCTTGGTGGGTGTATCTGAGCAGGGAGAGCCAGTGGACTGAACTCTAGACGGAAGGTTGCCCAGCACTGACCTGAGTCACATAAGGGTGCAAAAATTATGCTGAAGTGAAGTGGGCATTTAGAATAATATTTTCAAAAATATTTTTGTGTTTAAAGTGATGTGTCAGGATAATAAAGGCAGTGTTGTTTATGTGGAAGGAAGCTTAAATATCATCTTGTATGTTTTTGATCGAACACCTCTAATTAAAATAGAAGCGTGGGGCTGGGATGGAGCTCAATTAAAGTCTGCTCTCCGTGTACAAACCCCTGGGTGCTGCTTCAGTGCGCTCCCCGCCCCCCCCCCCCATACACACACAGAAAGAAGCTTTTCAATTTGCTGAAATGTTGAATTTGTAAGACATGCTGAAGAAGGGCGTGTGTAGCTAGGTCCCAGAGTCCTGAAAGGTTCAGTCTTTGAACAGGCTGTGTGCTCACTGTAGAGAGCAAGTCTCCCTGGCAGTAGAGCCAAGGCCCCTGTGCTTGTAGTTCATTCTGATGACACTGGTGGTCTCTGCCTGGGCAAGGCTGGAGGTGGGGAGGGGCAGCAGTGTTGTTCTGGGGACTCTGTCTCTCCACCTGGGATTGAGAGCAGAAGGAGAAGCTGTGCTTTCTGCTCCACTGGAATGGCTGTTTCCCTCTGACCCTGATGCCCAAGCGTACTAGCCCGCTATCAGGTGCTGGTCACTGGCATGGAGGCAGTACTGGATTGCAATTGCAGCATGTGAGGGATTTTTAGGTCTTAATGCTCACCTACCTCCTTGTTTAACCTAAGTGTCTCTTGGGATTTCAAAATAGGTGATAAAGTACACTGTGCTTCATCATAAGGAAACATATGAACCAATTTTTCCAACATAAATCACTGTGCTCTTTCGAATGTTCAGTTTTTATTGCAGTTTAGGCTTCCGAGGCATTTTGGGTGCCCAGGTTCCCTTAAACTACATAGAGCCTAGGTAACGCTAGATGTCACTAGATTAGACTTGCTCATGTCAAAATCTGTTGGTTTCCCCAGGCATGTTCCCTCCTCCCCAGAGGCCTCTCGACTGATGGGACTTGGGCACTCTCCTTCAGTATCCTTGGCTGCTAGGAGTTGAGAGTGGGAGGGTCTGTAGGCGGGAGACTGCAAGCACTGTGGGTTCTGGCTGACAATGGTCTTTGCTCTGACTGATTCTCTCAGGCTGGCCTTGAACTTGACATCCTCTGAGTCGCTGGGATGACACCATGCCTGACTCTTCCATGTCTTTTTATGGCCTCACAGCTTGTTTCCTGTTAGGCCTGATGATAGTTCATGTCTGGATGTGCCCTATCCTGTTGCAGGACGTCTTAGGTAACTGATGAGGACCTCTTTGGTCTTCCCTGATGGAGATGTGAACAGTGAATAAAACCATACTCCCCTCAGAATGGAACTGTGATCCTTGTGTGAACTGCCTTGGAGAGAGAGTGTTCTTGCAGGTGCTTGTGCACCTTCCTCCCACCCCAAATCTGCCCAGGAAGCACTTGGGATCCTCATCCAGAGACCATTTCTCATAAAAGCTCTCTGTGTGTAAAGCATCGTTAAACACTGTAGATTTGCTGGGTGTTGGGGGTGGATGTGTCTCTGAGAGAGGGTGTGCGTCCCTGTACATGGGGGTGCACAGCCAGCTGAGGGCTTTGTGTAGCTGCCTCCTGCCTACTTAGGCCCGCCTTGCTTGTGCCACTTGCATGCTCTCTGAATTGAGCCTGGTAATGCCCAGCCCAGCTTAGAACACCAGACACTGTTTGTTTGTTACATTCTGTGTTTCATGGCCCTTTTTGGTCACTTTTGATGTGATTGATGCTCACAGTCCTGGGTTGTGGCCCAAGGCTCCTATTTTGATTAGTATGAAGAGCTCACCAGGGCAAGGGCTCCTATCTGGACTATTGGCCAGCTGGGGAGCCTGGGAGCAGGCTGGCCCTCTCTGGGCCACCACCCGCTCCAGATTCCAGCTCCTCATCTGTGATGAGGTGAAGGGTAGGCTGGTCAGGGCCTGCAGAGGGATGTGGGAAGGTGTCAGAGGCGTTCTTACTATGACACAGTGGTCCAAATGTGCCTCACTGAGGCACACTATGCTTTTATACGGGGGTCAGTGGGGCACCTGTCCACAGAGGGCATCTGTCCACCTTTGGTCCTTCTGTCCTCTGTGCCACTGACCGGAATAAAAGGTGCTGGCAGCCAGATGGCTGCTGCCGTTTGAGGGAGGAACTTAGATTTCCTTTATGAACATTTTCCCTCTCTCCTCATACAGCCATTGGCATTTACTGTGGAATCCGAGGCATTGGACACACTGAGGGTCTTGTCACAAGTGAGGTTCAGTTGCTGCATGCTTTAGTCTCACATCCTTGGTTCCTAGGCCACAGGGTCTCAAGACCTCTTTATATGTTACACATGGAGGATCTCAGAGGACATTTGGTTATGAAAGTGTGTCTGTCATGGTTGTCAAGCTGCCCCTGGAAGATTTGTAGAATACTTAGGTAGTAATTCCATTTTAAAACAGGGTTAATAACTCCATTGAACATTATTATAAGTAGTTAAAAGGAACTGTTTTCAGCCTGTACTTCAGTGATCAGGGAGACTAAGGTAGAAGGATTGCACATTCAAACCAGCCTCATAAACTTAGATTCTATCCCAAAGTTTTCAAAAATCATGTAGCTCAGTGGTATAGTGCTTGCTTATTATGTGCAAGGCCCTTGGCAGCTTAGTCCATAATACTGCCAAAAATAAATTCATACATAAGTAAGTAAAAACAGAAATAATTATATTGAAAAACCAAAAAGTTAGTGATTAGAGGGCCATTGTTTAAAACAAATCCTATCAACATGTGGCTCTATAGAAGATGGCTGCATTCTCACATCATCTTCTGTACTTGAGTCTGTTGCAGTGAGTTTTGTTTGAAGTACACAAATGAAATATCAAATGAGGTGCACAAATGAAATGGAAGAGTATTTTAATAGTTTTTGAAGATCTTCTCTGATCCTCAGCACTGATCCACCAGCACTGTGCAAGTGTCCATGCTGTGCTTGCACCTCAGGTTCCCTGCATCGAGC